CATATTTGAAGCTAATTGACGATTCTTCAATGAATGTTGTTGACGTCTTCGAGTTTGCAAATAATTCCTCTTGGGATTTAGTTGACATATGCATGGTTCCAAGCGGTATAGAGCTGATGATTCCAAAACATTCATTTGTTGTTCTAAGTAATAGCCCCAATAAGAATGAGATACTCCTGATAGTCCACATTAAAAAGAATAAAATAAAGAGGCTTTCGCTGATAGATATACTTGGTTTATCCGATAGTTCTGAATTAATATCACAGACTGTACGACTCATTGATTGTGATAAACTCAAGTTTATTATTGGAGGCAACATTACTTTCATAGTGGAATTGATTTATGACCCAGATAGGAGTAATTTTATCTGGCAGTTACTTCCAGGTTCGATTGTTCAATTGCCTATATATACACTTGGTGCTATTTCAACCGATAAATATATTATAATGGGTGATATAATGAAGGGGTTATATATTGGAGAGCTTAATGATCCAACTGATGATGGCTATGAAAGTGAAGCCAATGAAGCTCACATCAAGCTCTCTATGCTGAAAATACGATGCAACCTTGATCCATGTTTTCTCACGAGTTTTGATGCCGCCAAAAACATCGAAGACCAGACTGAAGTCATTTTTGGTGACTCCTTGGGTAATTTATCTTCTGTTCAAATAAATTCCGGTAACAATGAAGTGGATCAAACTTTTGCATTCAATATCGGAGAACAGGTTAATATTATTAAGGTCATCGATCATTCCTTCCAAAAACAAGATTTTGCGTTGAAATTCGATAGAACTAAAGAAATGAAACCTCTTTTGTGTACGACTGCTGTTATTGGTACGGTTAACGGTGGGTTATATTGTGTAAGCAAACTTGATCAAGAATCAACAGAAAACATCGAAAAAACCTTAGTAAAATGCCAAGCAGAGTTGATTTCGTATCTGAAAACTCTATCTTTGACAAATAAGACAACAAAGGCGGTCAACTATACGAATTGGCTCTCAATAAAAGATTGGAAGACCTTGTCTAAGAATGAATCTGGAAATTATATAAGAAAAGATGCTTTCGGTATGTTTGATTTGGCAATAATAAGAAAATGGCTTAAGCGCGACCATAAGCTTAACACTTCTGGTCAACGAAACAACTCAGATGAAGAATTATTGAACGACATGAAGACAAGTCTAAAAGTTTGTTATAAGAACAAAAGGCTTCTACAAAGATTGGTCTACGAAAGTAGTTTATTATGAAATGCTGCATTTAGTAGTACTTATTTGTCAAATACACGACTTTTTTGTTTTTGTCGTTTTCTAGAAATTTTACATATTATTGAATACTAAATAGAATAAAATAGCATAAGCCTAAACGTACAATAATTCATCATGGGTGATCAAGAACCATCAACCTTGAGTCAGAAGTTTGATGACATTGAGATGTTGGAAATTCCAGATGACTCAATATCTTCAGAAACAGAATCGCTCAGCGATAGTTCTGCATCAGATCCATTGAAAGATGAACCTTCAAAACAAGATTATATAAGATTGCAAGATTGGCTAGATTCAGATGACGTTATTGAGTTTCAATTTGATCCAGAACAATATAAGGACAGTTTGACCCAAAATGATGTTTCAAAGTCATATACTAAATATATAAACTCATTGTTCAAAATAATCGAAGGATTTACAAATGATGATATCACCAGAATTGATTTAGAAGATGACGAAGATCCTATTGGGTTGATTAGCACTTCTGCAAAATTTGGAAATAGCGCCCGAAAAGCGCAAAGAATGCATAAAATTGATGAAGCGTTTACTAAAATTGTTGAAAACTTAACTCAATACATACACGATATAGAAAATATTGGTGTTGATGACGAGAAAACAGAACAGTTTTATTATTTATTGAGTATACTAGACTGTCTTCATGCTAATTACTTTTGTTCTGATACTAGAATGAAACCAGAATCGATAGCTAAGTGGATTAATAGATTTGATTATAAACCTGATAAAGAATTGGTGGAGTCTGTTATGGTAAACTCCCCTAAGCCTTATAGTCATCCTCAATTTTGGAATACTTACTTATCACAATTAATTACTAGAGGCCTACTCACTCAAGCAATTGCTGCGATAGAGAAATCACAATATGAAGAGTTAGAGGAAAATACTCCTGAGTTGTTCTCAGTTATCCAAGACTTCTTGATGTTATTAAAGAACTATACTAGTATGTCAATGAAACATCAATTTCCTGAGTGGAAATTATCGTGTTGTGAGTTTAGAGATTTGTTTCTGAAATTTAAAGCCAACATAAGTGACTCAAAAGATTTAATCATCCTTAATCAAATTTATGATTTATTATGCATACTTACCGGCTTACCTAAAACAATTGCTATACATTGCTATAAATGGTATGAAATATATACTGCATTGTCTTTGTATCAAGTTAGAGATGATGATAAATTATTTAAAGATTACTTTAATGTTGCAATTAGTGAGAAGCCTCCTGCTTTAATTGAAGGTAGTGATGATTTAAGTATAATAAGCGAGCAGTGCTTTGTTAATATTTTAGAAGAAAAATTCCTAAAAATGTTGGTGTCTGTTGATACAATCGACTCCGCTACTGCTGCATACGTTGCAAGATTACTTGAGCTTAAAGGATTATTGAACAATTATTATTCCGCTATAAATTCTAAGGATTTACAAGAATTAATTAACAGAAAAACTATTTCAGAATACTTATTGACTACACATGCATACCAATGTTTAAGTTCACATTATTTAGTACCCGTTGGGATTGGGTTGCTATCAAATAACGATATTTCTAGTTCCTCACAATCATTCATCAACAATCGTAATACAATATCAGAATTCTTGCCACATTATGAATGCAAAACTAACGATGACTTAGAATGGGCGTTGACGATATGTGCCAAATTGAACTTAATTCACACTGCTCGAAAGTTGTACCAGATTTACGGAATGAAATCATTGAAAGATGGCTATCTTTATGAATCTCTAAATATGTTTGTTAATTGCTATGATCCAGATTCGATGACTAATGAGTCAAATGAGGGTATGAAGCAAGTTCATCGTATTATCTGGGACATCGTCTTTCAAGATAGTTTGATGAATAATAGACCGATTAAAGATGAATTAATAAATAATATTATATGCCATAAAGTTGATTCTGGCTTTGAAGTACATCCTGTCATAAGACAATGTCTTTCACCATACGCCGTTTTAGTGGAATTTTTCAAATCGTTAGAGCAATCTCGCAGTACTACAGCTATGGATAATTTGTCCAAATTAGTACATTTAATAAGATTTAATCACTTGCCTAAAAAATTTTACCCTCTATTATTATGTCAGATTATCCCTTTCTTAATCGACTCCGGTATGAAGTTTCAATTGCCTGATTTAATTGTGATCATTGAATTGATTGATACATTTGAATTTCAAGCTAATAATGATGAATATACAGAGGGTGAAAACTTATATAAATATTCGATCAGCAATATCGAAAGCACAACCGAGAACTACGATTGGAGAAAGATCTTACAACAAAGTGGTAAGACCTTACCCAAAGATCTCAAATCTTTAATAAAACTATTAAGAAACGAAGTGGTTGCTAAAATTGGTAAAGTATACGTAGACCACATGTAATATATATATCTTAAATAAACATTTAAATATTGTTATGAAAACGTCTTTAATCTTAAACTATAAAAAGATAAAGGAAACAAAATAAACATGGTGTGCAAGTATTTAGGCCCATCATAATTCCTTACTTGTCTATACGATAAATAAGTAATCAAATACGCGGTAAAGGTAGCAATAAATATCATTTTATGCTAATTCTAGTCAATTGATATCAACTATACAAAAGAATTCGTAAACTTCTAGAGTACAAAAAGACAGATTGTTCGATGTAATAAAAAAATTAAAAGAAATGAACGACAAAAGTTGTTTTTGTTTTTGAGGTTTCCTTTAACAAGTGACATCTTGAGTAGCTCTAGAGTTCAACAATAAAGCGACAATTAACCCGTATAAACCTAAGACTTCAGCGAAAATCAAAATTAAAATCATACCAACGAATAATCTTGGTTGTTGCGCAGTACCTCTGACACCGGCATCACCAACAATTCCAATGGCGAAACCAGCTGCCAATCCAGATAATCCGACTGACAAACCAGCTCCCAATTGAATGAAGCCGGTGTATAAAGCTTGTTTTTGCTTCAAGGAGTCGGTAACTAAAACTGATACAACCAACCCATAAATGGCAATAATACCCGCCATAATAACTGGAACAATGTTTTTAACCAATAAATCTGGTCTCAACACACAGGTGGCACAAATACCAACCCCTGACTTAGCAGTACCGTAAGAGGCACCAAAACAGGTGAACACAATGGCTGCAGCACAACCCATGGATCCAAAGAAAGGAGCGTAAACAGGACTAGAATTCGGTTAGTACCTTAATTATTCTTATTTTTACATTTGAGCCTTCTTTGCCCCTTTGGCTTCTCTGTCATCTACCACGATTTGTCAATCAACTACTAATGCTTCTTATCTCTCCAATTTGCTAACTTTGTAGCATCCGCCATGTTCTTCGATTACAATCTAATTGACACTCCTTAAGCTATTTTAGAAATACATACCATAAATCAGACATTATGGATAATTATTATTAGGTCTTCTTAATTGATTCAACTGTTTAATTGGTTATCAATACTTCAAATAGTTGACTTCTTGATTAAAGGGATGATGAATTTCCTTGTATTGAACATTTGGCGGTTGTTCAGCTACGATTTTGTCCGGTATATCACTAACTCTGGGACGCGGGTAAACATGAGACTAGGCTTTGATGAGGCGGGTAACGGCAAGATTTTATGAGATGAGGTACTAATTAGTGAAAAATTCTGATAAATATATACATTAAATACCTTTGATATTCAATAATCTTCTGGTGAGCTATCGCAAGGAACCCTATAAACTATATATCGAAAGAACATGTCTGCCCCAAACCCAAAAGCTTTTCCTTTAGCTGATTCTGCATTAACACAACAAATCTTGGATGTTGTCCAACAATCTCAAAACTTGAGACAATTGAAGAAAGGTGCTAACGAAGCTACCAAGACCTTGAACAGAGGTATTTCTGAATTCATCATCATGGCTGCTGATACCGAACCAATTGAAATCTTGTTACACTTGCCATTATTGTGTGAAGATAAGAACGTTCCATACGTTTTCGTGCCATCTAAGACTGCATTAGGTAGAGCTTGTGGTGTTTCCAGACCAGTTATTGCTGCATCTGTCACCACCAACGAAGCTTCTGCTATGAAGAACCAAATCTACGGTATCAAGGATAAGATTGAAACTTTGTTAATCTAGATTAGAACTGTATTAGTTATAAAATAGATGTATTCGACTTGGCGTTAGTTTGGACTATCAACCTGTAGCAAGTATTTATGACGTAGAGTAGTAGAGTAGGGTGAGAGAGCATATTTTGTTGGACGTACTAGCTTAGTTGTCTGGAATCATGATGCACAATCATATTGGCCCTCACGCTTGATGCCATCGAATTTTTTAAAAAATCATTTTGTAAGATGAGCGAGCTACAGTAAAATTGCAACGCTTTTTACTTTGCATACCACTCGACCAGACATCTTCAAGTGGTCATGGATACGTTGAATACAGCAGAAGGCGTAACACGTTTTCTAAGAGCGAAAGGTGGCTCGTTGGACAAGATTGTATTAACTGCAAATCAAATCCTAGACGACACTATAAACGTCCACTTGCCAAACAAGCACATTTTCATCTTCGATTTGTTATGCGATAGATTCAACGATAACAACCATTTTAAAAACTGGAAATACGATACCCAATGCTGGTTGTTATTCAGAAAAGTATGGATAAGCTTAGACAATGATAAAATATCTAGGAATAGATCGATGAAAAAGCTAAAATTTGTTGATTTACTTATAAACATATTAAAGAATTCTAATCAAAAACCAGACGTCAAGCTATTGGAAAATGTGATGCAAACAACTAATATAGTCATGAACGATTTTTACATTGAAATTGATGACAATTCGTCGATTAACTTACTTGCATCCTACGTTACATCGTTAAATCATTTGTACGACAAAATCAACTTCAGTGACGAAATTATCAACGATTGGACCAATATAATCCACAAGCTTTATCAAATACCTCAACTCAATGTTAACCATAAGAATAGTAAAAAGAGTGTAACCAAATTCTTCGGAGAATTTATTCCACCTGCATTATATTTTATCGAAAGTGAAGAAGACAAATCCAACTTATCTCAGTCTAAAACTATAATTCAAAACGTAATATGCAAAGTGATATTTAATAAGGATTCAATTGGTGGCTTGAAGGGAAACATCGAATTGCTTTTATCTAAATATGCTAATGATATTTCGTTCGAATCACTCAAGTATTTGTTCGTTTTGGTTATAAACAACTTATCAAGCAAAGATATGAAACTATGTGAAGAGGTTTTCCTCTCTATAATCAACACTAAAAAGTTCAATCAAATGTCTGAAACATTGTTAGAAATATTATCAAATGTCAACAAATCATTATCAAGTGAATTTTTCTCGTCCATCTATGATAAAGAGGTTAAATCTAATTCTAAAAATAACATTAACTGGAGTTTGGTTATCCATTTATTCAATTTGGATATAGAATTGGCAATGAATAATGCTGAAGAGGTCCTCTCAAATATACCAAGTAGCGTGAACAGTAAAACTATATTAGATATAGGTGAAAGTGTAGCAGAGGCTTACATTAAAGCAAGGGAATTCGTTGAATTCTTTCAAAATATTTGGATTAATATAATTCATAAAGCTTCAATTTGGAAATCTAGTGAATTCGTTGATATCATCTCAAGCAAAATCAATAGCTTGTCCATGAATCAATTGAACACATTGTTATCGTTTTCATTCGGACAAAGTGATGCCTTACCTTTGACAAATTCCATTGTTAAAGGTTTGTTGATTTGCCCATTGAATAAAGTTGAATCTGTCAAGAAGCTCCTACTTAGTCAAAGTAAATTATTCACCGAAACGACAAGTAGCTTCTGGGAAATTAGATTCTATATTTTGTGTTTATATAATCAAGAGGTGTTAGAAAACAACCCGATGTTTATTTCCTATGTTTCCAATTCACCTGTCTGTTCCTCAGAATATTATTATTATACCATATTTCGTCTTATCGAAATTACAGGAGATGATGGGCCTTTTAATCAATATAATAATGACTTTGTTAAATATTTGAAGGACTTAAAGTCAGACAAGATTTGTTATGTGCTTATAACTTTATTTAATAGATGGTTGGTACTAATTGATAAATTCTTTTCCAAATCACAAACTCTTGAAATCATGAGTTTATATTTGAATCAATTGGATTTTGATTCATATCTTTTGAACTATTTTGAAAATAATGGTGACGTTTTCTTTGAACAGAGGAACACGGTTGATGCTTTACTAATTATATTAATTGAAAACTTGGCTAATGGAATAAATGACTGCTCAGTAGGTTTTATCAACTTGGTATCGATTATCCCAGTTCAATGCTTTGATAAGTATTCCAAGAAAAAGTTAATCGACACAATATTTGAATCATTTAGTTGCTCGCATGATAATGACGTTAATGTATCGTCCAGAGTTGCCTTAAGGCATTTATTAATTCAACCTTCCTTTAAATCATCAATCGAATTGGATTTTAAGTTGTCATTAACATTAATGAAAACATCGGTACAGCCTTCATTACAATTATCTAATGAAATCCTACAATCTATCTGGAACCAAAATTTAAGCCAGTACAACGTGGAATCAAATAAAAAGTACATTTTGGAATCGATTAAATATTTGAATGATTTCTTCAAGGGTTTTAAATTAAAGAATTTAATGGAGCTACCATCAGAATTTCAAGCAGCATTGGTCATTATTTTGACTAATACAAAGCATAAGAATACTGACAATAACCTTAAGGGAATGATACAAGCATTAATTAACCTTTTTGTAAAGATTACAAAAGATCTTTTACATAAAATAATTGAGAGTAAGAAGAATATAAACTACGAAATTGTCTATTGGTTATTAAACTCGCTATACTTAACATCAAGTGACGATAGCGAGGAAGCACACGATACCCTTTCCTTAATTAAGGCGATCGGACAGAAATTGTCCTCCGCCCATAATGATCAAATTAATAAAGTTAGAGTAATATTATTCAAATTATTGACGAACGTATCAAGGCCCTCGTTTAATGATGCGGTCTTCATTTCAAGTTTATTTATCGCATTAGACGTGAAATTCGGGGCTGATATTGATGAGATGACAATGGCTTTGATGTCATATCTTACAAAACTTTCTGCAAATGAAGATGAATTTAAAATGTTTTATGATTCTGTTTTGCATTCAGTCAATACTGAAGAGGATCCCAGATACATGTCTTCCTTAGTAAAAATCACCAACTCGTTGATCAAATCTTTAAACAGAGAATATCAGGCGGATTGTACCACTTTATTTATCAAGACATTATCAGTCTTTTTGACACAATACAAGTTGATTTCGTTATCTGGACATAGCTCTATAATTTCCATATTGTCAACTTTGAAAACAAGTTTAAGTGGCATGACATGGTGCTTCAACCAATATGCATTGGAAACTACGATATCTTTAATAACAAGAGTTTCATACTCTTTAAATGAACCTGAGTTCGCCAAATTGGAACATGTTGTTGATATATATATTCAATTAACCCATGTTATGTCAAATATTTTGCTTTTCCATAGGTTCAAATTATCATCTCGTCATCATATTATAATTAACGCATGCGTTTCTTTGTTGGCACCTCTTTCGATCAAAAATCTTAAATCTGAAAATAATTACTTATCATCATCTACAAGAGCTACAGGTGCATATTCCCGTTTGTTGAGCAACTTATGTGAACCATCAAACACATCGTCAAAGGAAATGGTACAATCTTCTTTGAACTCTACGTCTGCATTGATCAAAAGATCACTCAGAAAGCATTTACCAATACTTTTGTTAAACTATATTTATATTGCATTGAAGAACAATTTCAAAAGTGAAGTTAATGATGAATTAATGGGTGGTATATTTAGTATTTTTAACGTTCTTTCTCAAACTGAATTGCGACTTGTTAGTTCCTCGCTAGATATTCCTGGAAAAACATATTATAGAACTTTATACGCAGATTATAAAGAACATGGTAAGTGGAAGGATGAATAATCCTGTACATCTACTATGGCATATAGCATCTAATAAAAACGTTTATTTACTAATGTATGTATCGATATTCGTCGTTATGGAGTAGTTTACCTACATTTTTCTTAAGCTCAGTTGCAAAATAGTTCATGAGATGCCAAACCCTTTCATCAAATGCGGCATGAGCAGACTCCAAATCGTTGTTGGAATGCATTGCATGTACAGTATATTCATATCTGAGTATGTCCTTTCTCGTGATTATGCCAACAAGTAACCCTTCTCGTTCCACTAATATAAATCTGGGTCCTAATTTCACAAAAACATCCAAGACATACTCTAAGGTAGTAGTGACATTGACTGTAAATGGGTGTCTATTAACAACAGCGCCAAATTCTATGCGATCTTCTGAATCCTGACTTTGGTCGGAATTAAAATTACATTTAACGCTGTCACCGACACTTATAGCATTCTCAAGGTTGTATTCTATGTCAGCTCGCGTAATATACCCAATAACCCGAGGATGAGCTGTGGATTGAATAATTGGAAACCCACTGTAGGTCGTTTTTGTCAATAACTTCTTTAACTGATTCAATGAGATACTTTCCGTTTCATCACTTGGAAAAGCAACAGTGATATTTGACATAGCACTATTCACTGTTGTGTTAAACCTATACTCCTCCTTCGATTCGATTAAAGGCAATCCATTGAACTTTATCATTTGTTCTGCTATTCCACCCTTACCATATTTATCATTGATACTTTTAGTGATCGCGACGACTATCATTGTTGGAATAATGTAACGCAACGCACCTGTTAACTCAAACATGATGATTACAACGGTTACTGTCAAGTGAGTTATTCCACTCAATGCTGCTGCTGCACCCAAGAAAGCATACGTTCCAGGAATAATGCATTTATCCCCATTAGCAGGACACGTTGAAAATATTGATGATTCCTTGTTGTTCTGCTGTATCTTTTCCACTATCATGCCAAGTGCCCGTCCAAAAGTGGCTCCAGTTGCCATTGATGGAACAAATATACCCGCTGGAACCTTGCAGCCATAAGTAAATATAGTTAGGATCATTCTCGCGACAGTAGCAAATATTAGTGACATAAAAATTGATACCTTCTTGGAATTTGGGTTGCAAATTGCATGTTCTGAGCCAGCATCACATTCATTGAAGAGTATTTGCATAGTTTCTGTCATGTCTAACCTTAAAAATTCATTAAAATAGCAAAAGCAAGCCGTTAAGGAAGAAAGTATTATTACCTCCCTAACCGCCATATTGGATAAGTACTTTTTACGAAAAGCAACTACTCGAAGGTTGAACTTTGATACAACAATACCATAGACTCCTCCAAAAATACCTAAAATAATATAAAACGGTATTTCAAAATAATGCCAATTAGTATTATATGTTACTTCAAACATTACTAATTGACCTGTTCTGAACGGATTTAAGGCAGCCAATGTGGTAACTGCAATCAAAGAACAAAAGTACGATTTCCAAATCGTAGAAAGTTGAAATACCGTTGAAATATCTTCAATTGAAAACAACACTCCTCCCATTGGTGAACCAAACGCAACTGCCACACCTGCTGCTGACGTGGCCGTTAAAAATTCTCTAGCTTTGGTAGCACTTTTTCTATATTTTCCAAACAATTTTGCAATTGAATTACCCACACATACGGCATAATGTACACTAGGTCCTTCTTTACCAACACTTAGACCGGAAGCTATCGCTAGTGGTAAACCTACACTTTTGATTAGTAATGTCCACCACCCTAAAAAGCCTTTCATGACGAAACCCGAAACAATGCACTTGATTTCCGATATCCCTGAACCAGCCGCAGATGGAGCATATTTCTTGACTAAAATCGCTGCTGAATACGCTAGCAGAACCGATATTATCACATAAATGATATAGTTGAAAAATCCGATCTGAGACCAACTGACCCAATTAGTACACTTGTCTTCGTCCTGATCCCAGCAACAAAATGTCTTATTCAAATAGAAATTACCCGAACAATGACCCATTCGTATGCTTGCTAGCCAGGCCGTTATGATATTCAAACACCCAGCGATCAATCCTATCACTACTCCCATGAATCCTAGCACAAACCAATTCTGCGTTGCTGAGATAAGTTTATCTTTAAATGATGTAGCCCTGCTATTAATGCTTCTGTTTTTAGATAACCTTTTCCAATGTTCACAAAGTTCATCTTCTACCCAATCTATCGTTGTGAATTCATCAAATCTCTTCACTTCTCGTACATTCTGCTGATTTATCCATTCACCAGTTTCTCGATTTCTCAACACCTCACTGCCGGAATCACTATACCTATCAGACAGCATTGAAACAAAGGTTTATTTATACTTTATTACCTGCTTTACTTATATGCTTAATCTTAATTTGGTTATTATAGTTAATAGAAAATTGATAGTACTAAATATACGGACAGTTTATTTATTATTATAATTTCACGTGATATATAAACAGCTACAAAAGGTAACTACTTGATTGCAAATACAATTAGTTTATTAAAAATTGCAGTGAATAGACTATAAGTGTGTACGATAGCTGTCATCGCAGTATTTCAACATGTTCTCTCTTAATTTCAGATTAAAGTTATTAAATTGAGCATCATTAAACCTCTCATCATAAGATAAGACAAAGTTCAAGCCACTTTCTAATGTAGAAATGACGTTTAGCATAAACTCTGACGCTGGTGGAGATAAAGATTGGGAAAAAATCATATTTCTTATGGTCCAAGGCTGTTTTCCTGATATTTCATATACTGGAATATTTATCAACCCCAAGTTGGAAATTTTCAAGGTATCATTTTTTGGCTTTCCCAATTGAGATTCAAAAAATTGAAGGTTGTCGTCGAGTCCATCGGCCATTTGTTTGAAGGGGTTTAGTGAGTTCAAAATCTTTTTATTTTGAGTCGTTTTCAACAAGTTTGCATTAATTCTGCTAGCTAGGTCCCATGAAAATTTGTGCACTGGAGGTAAGTTCTCGGAGATCCCGTTATTTGCCAGTGCTCCAAGAATCTTATAGTACTTGTTGCTCAAAAGCCGCTTATATTCATCACTTGCTATCGTTGGATCATAATGTCTTCTCAAAGTTAACGCGACCTTATGAGTGGTATAATGATCATCTCCGAAAATAGGCTGCAATGTCAATACTGTAATAACTTCTATATATGATGTGAGTGTAACTTTTTCGCGTTTACAAGCGTCTAATATCTTCTTAGTCTCGGAAGGTGTGAAATTTATTAGCTTAAAACTCACATTAAAATGTCTAGTAGCTGGAAACTTTCCTGGCCATTTTTTAGGAAATTTCTCAGGAACAACCTTATCAAAGTATAATGGGTCATTATCACTGTAGTCCAACTCTGGGTCAGCAAGAAATTCGTCAATTGGTGGAGGTAAATTATTTTTTATAAGAGCCTTATCTTTTTCATAATTAAATATTACAGAATCTTCATTGATATCAAGAACTGAAGCCTCGTGGAATCCATAATTTGCTTCATAATCACTAGCATTCAAATCATCGTCTACATATGCTAGGTTCTGAAGTAATATCTCGTGGAAGTAATTCCCAACGACACCATCAGCTATAGTGTGCTCAAAGACAACACTAAGATCGTGTTTCCCAACAAGAATCAATCTGAACAATGGGGAATCTTCATGTAGCCCAAACGCAATGTCATTGACCTCTTTCATAAACTTTTCGTTAATAGCATTGCCATCAATATATGACGAGTCCCTAAATATTAACAAATCTTTCAATCGAGCTTGAGAAATAGGGGTGTAGACGCAACGACCGATTGACTTGTTTTTGACAATATAACATATCAAAATATGATAATCAAGAATTGTTTTTCTTAATGCCCTGTAAAGTAAAGTTAAATCCGCTGTCAAGTCATGAGAATAAGTAGCTGTGACCTGGAAATTCTTGTAGAATCCAGTGGAGGATCTTGACCTCAAAAAGTTCTCTGACATGCTCAAAGGCCGAGTAATTATTGTAGGAGAACTCATACTAAACGGATCACTGTATATGTATCTAATCAGACTAACAATATTATTCAACAAAAGATCCAAACTATGTCTTATTTAAATAGATATAACTGAATATGACTCAATCTTCATTTCGCAGACGAACATAAGCCGATAAGACAACGAATCAATTTATTGATAGGGGTATAAAAGATTGTCCACACAAGGAATCTTTCCTTATCACTGTATAATTTGTAGTATTGTTATCATTTCTATGTCGTCTACGTAGTCGTCATCTTTTCATCATCTTTAAATTTCAATTTTGGTACAATATTTTTGTGCCTACGTAATAAACTGATAAAAATGATCTAAAATGTTCATAAACAAATATACTATTATTCTACACTTTAATCGATATTAGCAACTTTTAATAATGCCGTTTATTGGTATGTAACTATCGTTGGTATACTATTATATTGGATGTTATGATGGTGGTTTGCATCGCTCCTAAGGCTATAAACCTCCGATAGCAAGTTTGCACCCTGTTCTTTTTAAGGAGAATACTAACCAAACGCAAGTACCTATGTCAATCAAAATTGCAGTTACTGCAGGGGCACTAGCAGGTGCAACACTAGCAGTTGTTAATAACAAAGAAAATGTCTTGAAAGGGGCAGAATATGTTTTACAAAGAGGAGCTGATTTTTGTAAGCAAAGATTAGAGAAGGCACAAGAAATGAACATGCACTTTGCTGAAAGTCACGAAGATAGTGCCTTTGCCTCAGGCTATTCATATAGTGAAAATGGGGATTCTACGGGTAGCGATACACCTGACGAAATGGATAGTGACAGGGATTATGCTACGACTCCGGACGTATCTGATATGTCGGACTCTTCAGACGAAGAACTCGATATGATTAGTTTGGATTAAGGAAATAATGTTCTTAACATGTATGATTTACGATGAATTTTATATTTCAATTCTTTAAAGGAACAGCTACTAAGATTTCGCTCCGATTCTTAATGTGGCGTTTTATATTTACCAGGCATAATGTTCAATATTAGCATCAGCTAAGAACAGCTAAAACTATTACTAGGACAAATATACATAGAGCAAAAAGTAATATACAGCTCCATTTACTCTTTTTCTTTTGATATTCATGCGCCTTCGTTAACTCTCTTTCTGCTTGCTGAGTATTACCAGATAACTGCAATATGTTATCTTCGACTGTGTCTAACTGTTCTCCCTGTTGGTTCACCAATTCTCCTAAATCTTTGAAGATGGAATTTATTTCTAAAATTCCTTCATTTATTTGGTTGATATTTTGATTTCTTTCTTGCGTCAACATAAGATGGTATTGCAACTCAGTCTCATCTATTTGGTCCTGTGATGGTTCTTGTACGGCCACTTGTTGCCCGGTTTTCCCCTGTTCGCTATCTATTAATGGAGTTCGTTCATCTTGTCTCGGTATATCATCCTTCACTGGATATGTTCTTGTTTTCTCAGTATATTGCCTTGCTGACCTCTGGAACTGTTTATGTAACTCATTGAATTCGCTTACTAGTCTCTCCTTTATAACCATTTGTTTTTGTGTGATCTCTAACTTAGAACTTGAATCTTCCTGATCATCATTCGTACCATGCCTTTTATCTCCCAGCTTTTTGTTAATTAAATGTGACAAGTTCTCGATCAATATCTGAATCGCCGAATCCATATCAGATATCTTTGATATTAAAGCGCCCGCATTGTCTCTAAGTTGTATGTAATCCCTCTTAGAGCCTATTAATTTCTTCTTGGCATCAAACTGGGATATTAAATTACTAAACAACTGAAGCTGGTCGGAAGCTTTATCGATAATTGTATCTAATTCATTTTGTGATTGGCTTTGGTGTCTCTCTATATTTTCATTGTTTCCTTTAGAAACTGATCTTTGTGCTTCTATATCGAAATTAGCAAAAGACATACTGTTTAGTCAATATAATGCTTATAAGTAGAAGATGTTTATCAGAACCAGCCTTAAAACTCAGCAAGTAGTGTCGCATTTTCATTATTTGCGACACAAAATTTGACATAGATGCCAATAGCATAATGAAAATTTCACCCAATACTTTATGTACACAAGTAACTGATATATATTATTATTATACTAATTGTCTAATAGCTACTTTGGATTGAAACATAATGTAAAAAATGTACGTAAAACGTATACAGCTGCAAGAGAAATACTGATTCCATGATGTTGCACCCAAATGAGGCCACATATTTAAAAATATGGGAATTAACTCCTTAATGCCTTCCCTAGCATAATGTCACTGTAAGGGTCCTAATATAGAGGTGTAATTGGGTATTAGAACTTTTTTAGTGATTTTTTCTGAATTAGTACATGATATTCTACTAATTACTTAAAGCAACAGTTTTTTATTATATTTATGAAATAATTAGGAAAAATAACAAAAATCATGCAATAGTAATTTCTATTTGAGATATATTAGAGATATACTTGCATTATACGGAAAACATGCAGCGGTGTAATTATATATATAGAAGGACTGATATAAGTAACTTACCTTTTAGGAAGCTTGTAGGAATATTTTATGCGAGAGTATAGAAAGCGTAAAATTGCTCCATATGAACACATGAGCAAAATTTACGAATTAAGGCCTATTCAATATGAGAGTCAGACTTTCCAAATCAGTGAAACTACCTTCGAAAACTGCAAGGTTAGGAGTATGATTAAATGGAAAAGGAAATGATAGCCCAAAGCAGATTATTGGCAATGCAGGCCAAACCCTATAACGGTTGCGAAAGAAGTATAAAAGGCGAACAAACAACTACACTTGTTCTCTGATTTATACTATTCCAAAAACAATTAATTTGAAATGAAACTCACTAGACCAGCTGCTGCAATTATCTTAACTTACGTCGCTTTAACATCAGCTGCACCTGCTACGGTCGGCCCAAACAACCAGTCTCTGCCTCTGCCAATTGCTCCAAAAGTGACGGGTGCAGTCGCTCCAAAAGAGACAGCTGCAATCCATTCGTTAGTATCCAGTTTAAATCAATATAATGCAGCACATAAAGTTCCAGGCTATACTAAGCGTGAAGATATATTAGTCCGGGAAGCGCATGAGCTTATTGCCAGGTCTAAGCTTCCCATTTTAGATAAAATTTTAATGGCCTTGAAGGACTCGGGACTTGCAAACGCCGTTATTGACTTCGTTTTACTTAGTCCTGAATTATTAGACCTTACTGCCGATGCCACTATTTTCATTTTGAAGTCGGGTCTCATCAATTTGGCCGATTTATTAATTGCCTTGCAAAAATCGGGCTTAGTCAACCAAATTTTACTCTTGGCTTTAGATGATCCAGAAATCTTGCCTGGATTATTAAGAATTGGTAAAGAGCTCTTGAAGCAGAATGGTATCGACATTTTCAGTAAGCGTTCGATCGATACTTCAGAACTCGAAACCGCAGCTGTGTTTGAAGAAACGTCTATTGATAAGAGAGAGAGCCAGTTATTGAACGAATTATTTGCCTCTTTGAAGGACTCCGGATTGGGTGTTTCTATCATCCAAAACTTATTGACCAATCCCGATTTGAGTGCTCCTGCCGCAACATTTTTAACCAAAATCTTAAAATCTCACGCAGTTACTCTTAAAGAATTTCTTGATGCATTGAAAGAGTCTCACTTTATCTTTAACGTGTTGAAGGACATTCTTCACGATAAGGCTTTGTTAGAAAAGTTTGGTGAAGTGATTTTTGAAAGAATTTCGAAGGGCATAATTTCAAGAACTATGTATGATAACGCCTAGTCGCAAATGCCTTTACTACATTACATTCTTATTTTTTTTATTTTCTTCTTCTACATATGTAATTATTATTAATAGTATGTGTTTCTTGTGATCCTATATGTCTTATTGTATAATATATTTCTATTAAAGGTGTAATATTTCGCAGCCAATCCAAAAACACGTCTTTTTGATTAACGCGTTAATTTTTGTACCAAATCATGGAACGCGTAAAACTAAACTTATCAACATGTTATTATATATGGTTTTTCATTTTTAGATTAAGTGAATTGATTCGTTGAGTTGATAAAACGGCTACATAATAAATAAAATGCTGTCTAGAGCTAGTAGACGTGATAAGTTGAAAGAACTCAAAGAAGCTAGACAAGCAGGGTCAAGTTTGATAACTTATTCAGATGGAGAAGATGATCAAGGAATATACGATGAAGTTGACGAAGAAACATATAGAGAACGCAAAAGAAATCAGATGATGAACGATGATTTCATTGTAGATGATAACGGTGAGGGATACGTTGACAACGGTGTGGACGAATGGGATGATAGTACGAGACCTAAATATTACTCCGATGAAGAAGAAGAAGGAACCGGGAAAAAGAGGAAAAAGAGCCAAAAGAAACCCGTAAAAGTGGCGAAGACGTCAGAGATCAATAATTTCTTTAAAAGTGGTGGATTTACGTCTAGCAAAGTGACGGCTCCAAAAAAGATCGACGCCAATATCGATGATATTCTTGAAGATTTCCTGGAAGTCAAGAACGGTAACAAAAAGGCAACGACTAATTCTAACTCGTTTGGAGTACAAAGAAAAACAGCAAATAAAAAGAAATCGAAGCAGAATGCATTCAGTTTCTCTACTATGTCAAAGAGGGATAAACCAAAAAGAATAGACGAGTTAAGCAGCCATGACGATTATTCGATGGACATTGATGTTAGCGAGCAACCGTCATCTCCTATTAAAAGGGAATCAACTACCCTTAAAGAAGAGATTACTACGAATGCTATGGAAAAGGAAAATGTCGACCCTCAAGTAAAGAAAGAGGACACACCTGAAAATAAAAATGGCGATGACCTAGATGAAGATGATGAAGAAATTGACGACGATTCAGAAGATGAAGTTATCGTTACTAGAAGGCCACGGGCAGCAGCCGCCAATAAACATAAAACTGCAAACTTTTCGGCAGTAAAGGCTTCTAACGTCGCATTATCATCACCATCCAGGCCAACAGCTCACTCTTTGGTCAGTCATACAGAAAAGCTTGACGAATCAAAAATCATACAAGATTCAGGCGAAGCTGGAAATGAATCTTTCAAGATGTTTTGGCTCGATTACTGCGAAGTCGATAATTCCTTGCTTCTTTTCGGTAAGATCCAGACTCGAGATGGTAATCTAGTGTCTGGTGTTGTTAAGGTTAATGGGTTATGTAGAGAGTTGTATTTCTTGCCTAGAAAACATAGAATAAGTAATGATGAAGAAGATACAGAAGATGCGGTTTCGGCATTAGATGTGCACGAAGAAGTTACGCCATTGTTATTGGAAAAATATGGCCTCGAAAGCATCAAGGCTAAGCCAGAGACCATGAAATACGCATTCGAGCTTCCTGGTATTCCAAAGGAAAGCGAATACTTGAAGGTCTTGCTACCATACAAGACTCCTAGAAACAGGTCATTAATAATTCCATCTAATTTGGAGGGAGAGACATTCAGTCATGTCTTCGGTACCAATGCTAATATATTCGAAGCATTCGTCCTGCAACAGAATATCATGGGCCCTTGTTGGTTGGAAATTAGTAATGGTAACTTTACAGAGATACAGAATACATCACACTGTCAAGTTGAAGTTGCAGTAAGTTCTCCTAGCTTTGTTAGACCTATCGTTGATCTAAAGTTGGCCCCACCTAATTTAACGGTAACTTCAATTTCTGTTCAGACAATTATGAATACAAAACAAAACAAACAAGAAGTTGCTTCTGTATCCATTGCAACGTACCGTGAATTACCACAGGACTCACCAATTGACGAAAATGTTAAACCTGATGACCTTGTAGTGTTGGTTAGGCCTATAGGAGCAGTGGCTGTACCTCCAGGACTAACACAATTGGCTCAGAAACAAGGGTTACCTCTAAGAACTTTTCCGAACGAAAAGGCATTATTAAACTGTTTAGCAGCTTTAGTCAAAAACTTAGATCCGGATGTGTTTATTGGTCACAGATTAGAGAATATTTCATTAGATGTGTTAGTCCACAGAATGTATGACTTGAAAGTAACCACTTGGTCTACATTTGGTCGTCGTAATAGAAAGGCATGGCCTGACAGATTTGGTCGTAATAATAGTGGTTTTAATAATAATCTACAAATTCGTGAAATTTTCCAAGGAAGATTATTATGTGACATTGCCAACGAGATGGGTCAATCGTTGACTCCTAAATGTCAATCTTGGGATTTAAGTGAAATGTATGATGTTGTTTGTCATAAAAAGCAGATCCCTCTAGAAATTAATTTCCATAATCCAAGATATGCAGATGATGCAAGTTTCTTATTGATGGCATTGAAAGAAAATGCATCCAATGTTAGAATAACGGCAGAAGTTGCATTTTCTATTCAAATATTATCATTATCAAAGCAGTTAACAAATTTGGCTGGTAATGCTTGGTCTCATACTTTGAGTGGTACCAGGGCTGGTAGAAACGAGTTCATTTTATTACATGAATTTAAGAGGAATAATTACATTGTGCCTGATAAAGAAGATAAATACCATAAGAATACAAACCATCAGCAACAAGCCAAATTAGAATCCAACGAAGAAGACGCTACTACTGCTACGTCTAATAAAAAACCAAAGTATCAAGGTGGTTTAGTTTTTGAACCTGAAAAGGGATTACATAAAAACTATATTTTGGTAATGGACTTTAATTCTTTGTATCCAAGTATTATTCAAGAATATAATATTTGTTTCACAACAGTGGATAGGGATAATTACAATGCTGCAAAGATTGATGAAGGTGACTTGCCCGATATTCCAGATAGAGAAGCGGCACAAGGCGTCTTACCACGATTATTAAATGCTTTAGTTTCTCGTCGTCGTGAAGTCAAAAAGTTATTAAAGGATCCTAAGAATACTGCAATAGAAAGGGCTCAATATGATATCAAACAGCAGGCA